TACAAGTTGCATGGGTGACACGATTGCTCTTGTTGAATACTGTGCTTTGGCCATAATTTTTAGAGTAGGTAAAGATGGCAGCCATATTCCAGATATCTGCCTTGCAAGCCTGCCCTTCTTCCCCAAACTCCTCATTTGCCACTTGCAGGGAAGCCCTGGGCTTGAGTTAGCACAAAAAAATTATTTAACGGTGGTCTCTCTCTACCCAAGTTCTAGGTCCCATGGCTTCTCCTGAACACGGGACTCAGAGTTCAGAGTGAGGCCTGCAAACACCCAAAAAGAAGCTGAAGACCTGGGTAACAGGCCCCAGACAAGGAGGGAGCCAAACTCTTTCTTCTGGTTCTTCTGGCACATTTGTCTCTAATGAAATATGGTGTTGCAGTGTGGGAGGACACTAGCCCACTAGGTTCGGGACCCTCTGCTTTCCTCCAGCTGTTACCTTGAAGTATGTCCTACACCAGCCCAGTTGGGTTCCAGAAGACAAGATGGATTGTCCACATCCTGTGGTCCTGGCATGCGAGGACTTCAGCCTCCTCCTCAGCTTCCCTTAAGACTGGGAAGACTGGGTCCATTGCCTTATTCCAGGCCTTGGCCAAGCCCTTGATGTATAGGGGCAGGTAATCTGGATCTTGGACAAAGCCCAAGAACTCATTTCCAAAGTCACTTCTGGGGCTGAATGCCCTGCCCTCCTTGGGCTTCGTGATGACTGGAGTCTCTTCCTCCTGTGCAGGCCAGGGCTGTGGCTGAAGTCAGGCTCCTAAAGTACTAGGAGGTGGGTAGCTCTTGGATGAACTTTCTCTCCTGATCAGAGAGATAAGTGAGGAGGCTTCGGGCACTCCCTGGAAGCAGAGTAGCATCTGCAGAAGGAAGGGATCCTGCTGAGGCCCAGGACACTGTTGTCGGCCAGCACCAGTCAACACTTCCCACTGGGTTGGGAAAAGCCCTGGAAATAATTCTTGTGGCGTTTGTAGGTGATACGAATTTGAGAGGGACAAAGATTCAAAAAGATCTTCACAGGCAGACATGAAGCCCTGGAGGGAGGATGTGAAACTCCTTTGGTGAGAACGTAAAGTCCTGCATTAAACAAAATTCCCCGAGAAGGCCAGGTTGGGGGCCTGGCAGACGTGCAGGTCTGTGCACTACAAGCCCAGGGTGGCCAAGGCGAGCTGGGCCCACAGAGGCCACTCCAGGGGAGTGACTGAGGAGCCCTGCAAGATCCATTTGGTCCTTCTTTCCTTCCTAAGATGTTCGATCATCTGCTGTGCACTTGGCAAGGACCGGCTGGGTCGCTTCTAGGCAGTATGTTTCCAAGTAGAGAAAACACTAGAACTTGTGCAGAGGGAAGCTGGCTGTCAGAGTTTTACCTGCAAAGCCAGGCTGTGGGTGGGATGGGATGGAGTCTTGCTCTTCTCTTGCTGGCGGCTGGACTGGGGAGGAGGTTGGAGCCACCTTCCGTTGGCTTCAGGATGCAGATCGGAACTAGTGGGTGGAAGTGTAGAGGGAGAGCTCAGGGTTTAGCACCAAGAAGCTGCCCTGGAGTTGGAGCTGTCTGGGAAATGGCTGACTGGAAGGGTAATGCCCTCCCCCGACCCCAAGTCTCTGAGCAAAGCTAGGTGTTGCCCCTCATGTCTTCTTGCTGAGAGATCAGCCCACCAGATGGGCAACCACACAAGACACTGAGGCTCCCATGAGCTCGGGGAGACTGTGGCTCTGTAAGTTGTGTGACAGGCTGGAGGCCCTGGTGAAGCAAAGGGCACTGAAGCGAGGTCAGAGCAGGTGTCGGGAGCTTAGAGCCCGAAGAGCATGTGGCCCTGGCCTAGGACCTTGGGCTCCCGAGTACACTGCTGTCTTTTACTCTCCTGGGACAGGCCTGCCTCGAAGGGGTGATGGGCTCCTGATACTTCTAGTTCTGAGAAGGTAGAAGCCTTTCTTTGGGTGGTCAGTGTGTTCTGGGGTCCTGCGGTGTGCCCCCACTGAGCTAGGCTGTGGTAGACAGACAAGGTGGTTTCTGCTCTCTGGGCACTTACTGCAGTTAGGGGAGGACCAGCAGGGAAAGGCAGGGAGGGTGGGGTTTCTTGGCGTGATAAGCGTGAACTCGGACTGGAGGGGCTATTTGCCAAGGACCTTCTGGCACAGTTTGCCATGGGATCTCCACAGTGCCTGTGAGGAACGCCCAGTGGGAGCCCTGGCTGTTTCTTGGGCTCTAAGAGTGTAAAGTGACCTACGCAGGCCTCAACTAGCAAGTTTCAAGCTAACTGAATGTCTCGTTTCCTACCTCCGGATCCAGTGCTTTTCGGCTTGAACATCGGGAGATTGGAGTTTGCTGCCTCAGCATTTGCTGTCCATCCATGGAAACTAAGGTGCACCCTACTCCTGGGTCACATGGGTGAGCTTGGCACCTACTCGCAGGCCAGGAAGGCGTCGCTGCTTCGGTGGCTACTTGAGCGTGTCTGCATCTTTGCTTGGGAGCATTGGCTTCCAAGCCATATCTCATGCTTTCCTCCTGGATCAGGACTCACCAGGAGGGAGGCATAAAGTTCTGGTCCTCTCTCTCCACTATGAGCCACTTCCTTGGCCCCAAGCTTACCATGGGCTATCTATGGGCCAGGTTCAACCCTTGGGTAGGTCTGGTTGTATGGTAATGTTGGCATGCATGGGGTTTATAATTTTGAAAACTGCCTACTAACAGTTAAAAGTCAGGAGATTTCATGTGAGAATCCAGAACTCCAGCTTCTTTAGAGAAAGCAGATCATCCAGTACTGGAATTGGACTATTCCCAGGGTTGTCACTGATCTGAGAGAGTGGCTACGGCTTCTGAGATGGAGTCTGTGCTCTTGGGGTCACCACAGACCCCTCCTCACTCCATTTTTCCTTTCGTTTCTCTGACACTGAGCCTGAATGCCAGTGGCTGTTTATCATGGTATCTGTACGGTCTTTTTTCTTACAATTTGCTTGCTGTTTTCATTTCTGCCCACCCAGCCTTTAGAGATGCTTATCTTGAGACAATGGTCACTCTGATATCTTACTGTCCAGAGGAACAAGGGTCTCTGGTGGTGGGAAATCTTGTACATACCTTTTGAGGTCAGGTTGACATACCATCTGCTTTGGGGAGCTTTGACAGCTGCAGTTCTCGGTTCCCAGAGCATGGCACCTGTGGTTTTGCTACATTCCTAATGTGACCAGGTCATGGTTTAAATATTGTCTGATTCCTTCCTTCAAAGACACTTGTGTCATAACCAGAGCCACATTGTCACTGTCTCTGCTGCAGGGCACATGGCTGTCAGGAGTTGTTTGCTCAATTACACTGAACAATTATTTGCCACCACATATTGAACAATTATTTGCCACCACATATTGCTAAGTGTGATAGAAATGACTGCCTGGAACATGAATGAGATTGCTTTTCACTGTTGTTTCTTAGACTCCTCAAGTCTAGAATGATTTTGAATTTAGCTCATGGGACCTATTGTTTTAAGAAGTCTCTGCTCTGTTGGAAGGCCTAGCTGTCTTCTGGGTTTGATGGTTGACAGCAGTGCTTCTTCCTTGGAGAGATAAGATCACACTTGTCCATGTGTGTGCTGGAAGTCTGCCTGGACAGGGAGGGCCCCCGGACCCTGTGCATTTTGAATGTGGCAGGCACTTGCTGGTCATCTGGTATCTACCGTGCAAGATCTCACTGATGCAGTCATCTGATGGAGAGCAAGGTAACTCTTGCCATTTGTGGTGAAGGCTTGAAATCCAATCTGGTATATCCAACTTCAGGAAAAAGTCCTAAAACTATTAAGAGCTTGAAAAGCAGTCTCATAAAGAGATTGTCCTCCTGTCCTGAAAGTGGATGGGGATCAGATGGAGCTGATGTGGATAAGTCCCCTGGCAGCCAAGCCTGGTCTGACTTGGCTAGTTTCTGTTCAGTGCAGAGAACACCTCCAAGGCCACCACTACCACCACAGCAGGAAATCACCCTGGGCTCATCAGAACCCAGGGGGTACAAGTGCCCTCTCCCGGGATAGTGTTCAACTTGGCCATGAAAATGTCAGTCATATATGGCCTGTCCACAAAAAACTATCAGGTAGACATTTATTTGTCTGACATGGAAAGATGTTTATATAACTATTTGAAAAAAGCAGGATGGAGAACAGTCGGTATAGTATAATCCCATTAAAAAAAATCTTGGTCAGGTGTGGTGGCTCAAGTCTGTAATCCTAGCATTTTGGAAGGCTGAGGTGAGGGGATTGCCTGAACCCACGGATTTGAGAACAGCATGGGCAACTTGGCGAGACCTCATCTCTATAATAAATCACAAAATTAGCTGGGCGTGGTAGCATGCACCTGTAGTTCAGGCTACTTGGAAGGCTGAGGCAGAAGGATCGCTGGAGCCCGGCAGGTCGATGCTAGGATGGCCGTGAGCTTGCCACTGCACTCCAGCTTGGGTGACAGAGTGAGACTCCAATTCAAAAAAACAAAAAAAATCCTGTACGCATACATAAACTTACAGAGGAAAATAACTGTGGTGACCATCTGAGTGATGGAGTTTGGGATTATTTTAACTTTTTTTCTGCTTATCTCATTGTTCCCTAATTCCGTCAATAACTGTGTCTTACTTCTGTCACATGAAATCATTAAGGGGAGAAAGACACATGCACAGATGCCATCCCTACTTCCCAGCCCAGGTGAAGTGGCGATTGCCGAACTCCCACAGTTGGGAGCTGTCCATGTGGGTTCACGCATTCAGCCACCACCACACGGAAATGGAGGCGAGATGACGCAGCCGACAGTGAAATGATGTTTATTTCTGAGTGTCTCCGTGGCTCTGTGAGGCTGATAAGCCATGTGGGGTCCAGACTGGATTTGCGGACGCCGGATATTAGCTGCTTGGGTGCTGGCCCCGGGGCCTCATTTCATCTGCTCTCTGATCAGCCTTGTGGTGTCTGCAGTTATTAGTTTTTCTAACATGTGACTGATATCAGCACTGATAAGATCTCCTTTTCATAAATTTACAGGCGTTGCTTTCTTGCCAGCTAGTATCTCTTATCTCATTGGAACCAATATATTTGGGATACTTGCACACAAAATGGGGAGGTAAGATGATATGAAAACAGCACTCGCTTATAATAATGTAGTTCTTTTAAAAAATTTTGAGTGTTTCTGCCTTAGCTGTTACAAGTAATTGTTTTTGATTTTCACTGAAAATTCGGACGGGAAAAAAGGAATCAGATGATCATTTATTGATGGTGCATTTTTCTTTTGATAGGTGGCTTTGTGCTCTTCTAGGAATGATAATTGTGGGAATCAGCATTTTATGTGTGAGTAAAAGATGACATTTGACAATTGGGAACCATCTGTGAATAAAAGTTTTTCTTTGGGCAAGCATTGCCAAGAAATATTTTATAGCAGTTTGTTGACACTAAGCATTTATTTCATTTTATTCTAATTTTTTTTTCATCTTAAATATTTTGGGATAAGACTTTCCAAGAAGTATATATATTTTTTATGTCAGAAGTTATTTAAAGTGTTTTATCACATAGTTTTAAACTAACTCTTCCCCCTCATCATATTAAACATTATAGTGTCTTAAACACTTCAGGGTAGCTAGCCTAAAACAGTAGCAAGATATTTTTCTAGAATAAAACAGCTACCAATGTCCAATATCTTCTCTGAATGAGGCCTCCTCATCCTTATCAAAACTCGATTGTGGACTAGGCTGACCTTTCACATATGCCAATTGACTAGTTTTTCAGGTAGTCAAAAAGCCCATGTTAAGCTTCAGCTTTTAAAGATTTGAAGCGTTCAGTTCTTCCCAAACCCTGATCCCTTTCCTTCTGTTTCCTTCAGAAGGGAACAGGCATACCAGGCCCAGATAAAACATATTTTTAAGACTTTCCAAGATGACTTAGAGTTGGATCTCTTGTTCATGTAGCATAACATCGACTTCCTCTTACAGATTCCTTTTGCAAGAAACATTTATGGACTCATAGCTCCCAACTTTGGAGTTGGTTTTGCAATCGGTAAGTCACGCGACCCTTGTGCCTACATTTAAAATGGCTTTTCTGCTAGAAAAGTTTCTTCTCAACACAGAATGTTGAGACTAGGAACTCAATCTGAATTTCTAGAAGCTTGAGAGGAGGCTTCAGGCAGCTTACCTCCATGACAGCCTGTACATCTTTCACATAAAGATACCTGCTTCCATCTACTAGTCATGTATTTCCTGAAGACCAGTATGTTTTAAAAGCCTGATATTTAGGGGAGCAAGCTGGTATTCCACTGCTGGGCTTGGGCAAACCAGAGAATCCCTTACTCCTAGCACATTTCTTTTCACTCGTGTCTATGAGCAGACCTTCTCCTATGAGGCTTCACATGTATTTTTTATAGGTTTTGGTACAGACAAAGCAGATTGATGTCCTGATGACCACCTGTGCTGCAGGAATTCTCATGGGCTATGAAGATGGGCTTTGTCATGTTAGTGCAATAACTAGGATGTTAGGATAAATCTTGTTAATATTTTGGATGAGTCTCATGCCTTTGTTTCTCAGTCATAATGGACCAACTGATCATGAAAAAAGTAAGTGTTTAATCTATCACAGGATAAAGGAAGGAATTTAATTTTTGAGTGGTAAAGTACAAAGAATGCCTGAGGCCTTTTTGGATCCCCCCCAGACAAGGTCAGTTTTTACTAGTATATAGATGTCCTCTTTATAGCATCAGTCACAATTGTCATTCATTTTTCAACTCTGTGCTAACATCCAACTCTTAGATTAGTGTTGTTCACCCATGTCCCCAACACCTTGCACATTATTAGGCAATTAGCAAGTATTATTTGAATAAAAAAAATTTTCTCATCTGCCTGCCGCTGACGCCAGTGGAGCTGAGGGAACTAGCATCTCAGTACCCTGCTGGTGTGCTCAGACCCTGACTCATTGCTGCCAGTCATTAGCACCCCTATTTTATAGACAGAGAAACTGATGTTCAGAAAAGCTAGGCATGACTATGCTCATTCAGCCAGGGACTCGAACCCAGAATTCTAAACAGACATGCTCTTTCTTTTTTTTTTTTAATGTAATTTATTTTTATTTATTTTTAATTTTTTTAACTTTTTATTTTAAAGATATGAGGTATAATTCAGGGTTAGGTATACATATGTTTATTATGCAGTCACCCTTGTTGATGAGGGATGCCTCTCCGCTCCCCCAGCAGATTCCCACTACTGCCAATCCCGCCTCCCCTCCACCCTCCACAGTTTCCCGCTACTGCCAATCCTTTTCTTATAGTATTATGATAATTGTTCAAGGTCCACTTATGAGTGAGAACATGTGATACTCAGTTCTTTGTTTCTGTGATAGATCACTCAGTATTATAGACTCTAAGTCCATCCACGTTGCTGTGATATTCATAATTTTGTCCTTCTTTATGGCTGTGTAATATTCCATCATGTACATGTACCACATTTTTTTTCATCCAATCCTCTTTCAACAGGACTTCAATGGCAGCTTGGTTGGTTCCATGCTTTTTCTTTAAGTTACTTATTCCCCACTATTCAAGAGACCAAAGATCCTAATACTGGTCTTGGCTGTTGCTTTTTGGTCTTTTTAAAGCTTACTTCTTTCAGTATTAGTTTTCTGAGCAGGGCCTGATGATCCCTCAGACTTCTTGAGTTCTGGTGCCCTGTGGTCCTCCCTAGAGTTCTCCACCTTGGTACATCTCATAGTCCTCATAGTGTGAAGCGTATGTGTGGATGAGGGGAGGTTGGGAGAGGTGTGTAGGTATGCCGAATCTCAAGAGACAGTGAATCCAGAAAACACCAACAGGATACAGGCTACGGGGTCCCATGGCTAGTAACCTGCAGCTATGCTGGATCTGAAGAATGGCAAGGTGAGTTACCACAGGAATGGGGACCCACCCCCCAGATGGGCTATTCAGACAGTGGAGGACAAGGTGAGGCAAAGCAGGGAACAGATAAACAATGGCCTGACAAAGACTCTGAGTACAATACTGGGTTCTACTCCCAATCTCAGTGACCTTCTACAGTCTGTTTTGTGCTGTACGGCGTCTGCCCAAGACTTGCCGGTGGTGATGACAAAAGGGGAAGGGCTGGAAGGGTAGTGGGTGTAGAACACATTCCTTGACATGCAGCCCGTTTTTGGTTCACATCTGTTTTCTGTACATGGTGTTCCCTGACTGCCCTCAGGAATGGTGGATTCATCCATGATGCCCATCATGGGCTACCTCGTAGACCTGCGGCACGTATCTGTCTACGGCAGTGTGTATGCCATTGCAGACGTGGCATTTTGTATGGGATACGCTATTGGTAAGGACATTGGCTTATCACAACAATCTCGGTGCATGACAGATAATGCATACTAAAAACTGTTTACATCTTTGTGTCTTTCAAATCTACAAGACATCTGGAAAGAGCTTTATCTAATTCTCTGTTCCCTGAAAGGTCCTTCTGCTGGCGGTGCCATTGCAAAGGCAATTGGATTTCCATGGCTCATGACAATCATTGGGATAATTGACATTCTTTTTGCTCCTCTCTGCTTTTTTCTTCGAAGTCCACCTGCCAAGGAAGAAAAAATGGTAAGAAAAATTTACGATGTGAGGAAACATGTCTTGATTATTTGAGCATGGTCTTCCAGATAGCTTCTTCATCATTTAATTCTAAAATATCATTTCTACTTTTGGAGGGCAAAAACTTCCCAACATAAATAGTGAGGTTTCTTTTTTAGTTTGTACTGCATAAGGCAGGTTCTCCTTCTATTTTTTTTAACTACTTTTATAGTTATTTCTTTCAAGCTTTTGTTTCTAAACGAGATGAAATTATTTTTGTACATAGATTAGCATCGTATAGTTCTTTTGTCAACCAAATATAAATGTGGGATAGTTCAGTTTGATTTTCTATGGCTCTTGACAAGCATGGACATAATTTTTCTGCCTCCTGTACTCATTCCCAAGGTTAGCCATTTGTGATGGTGTTTGCTTTTCTCCTAACCTTTATAGCATTCAGTAGTATATAGAACCCCTTAATTCATAACTTTATGACCAGGGTCATAACCATAGGAAAGTCGTAGAATATACAGTATTCCTTTTTCGTACAAGTTCAAATGTATTGACTCTAAATTTGAATTTTGAAATATATGAGTCATTTTCGCCTTTCTAAGGTATTTACCATACCCAACAAGGAGAAGCTTAGTGTTTCTGATACTGGTTCATACCTGATAGTATTGGTGTTGATTTTTTAAAAATTAAATGCTGATAGTAGAAAGGAGAGTGGATTAAGGATGAGAGAGATGAGCAAGGGGAAATAGTATTTTTGTGTTTATGAATGGATGTGAAGTTCTTTTGTAATATCTTTTGGAAGAAAATCAGAACTTCTTTCCAACAGTTAACTGGATGAATTCTAATGCTGTGGCATTTCCTGAATTACCCTTTGATGGTTTTTCCTGAAAGTGTATTTAAAGACAAACCCTAAAATTAGGTTATATGCAGCCTATGTTTGTTTTGGGCATTTTTTACATTCATTAATTCACTCAATGTATTTTTAAAATATATCAAGCACTGGGAGACAGCTTTGTGCCCTTTACTTTATATAGAATTTAACCAGATAACATTTGGGCAACACATGACCCACTGACTCATGAAAAAGGGATAGAGGGTGCTGTGGAAATACTTGGAAGAAGTCGTCCCCTCTTCCTTCTTTCTTCTTGCTTAGATGCATCTCCAGCTCTGAACAGCTATAGCACTTGCTCATACCTCTCTTGGGGGATGTGTCTGTTTTCTAGCCTGGTTGCGTACATTTCAGATCCATCTTTGTTTGACCCTAGCAGAGCACCTCGCTCAAATGGGAGTCAGAAAATTCTCAGCACAACAGCTGAAAATGCCATTCTGTTGCCACTGTATCAATTTGATGAAGGATACTCTTGATCATTTTTGACTTCTATATCTATATCTCTATACATTTATAGGTGTAATCAATCACTCGCAATGTCTCTGTCACCCAGGAGGCTGTTGAAGACTCTTGGGAGATAGTGAAGGACTCACGCAGGTCTGGGAGCTGAACTTGGTCCCCCACATAGAGACTGCATGAGTCTCAGTTTTCTCTGTTGTGTGAAGAAATGAGAGCACAGCCTCATAGTGTTGTGAGGATTACATGAAAGAATCCCAAGAGTGACTGGCCCTGTGTCTGGCTCAATAAGTGTGTTGCAATTTTTCCGTCACCCCATTCTTCCTTCTTGTTTTTATATAACTCTCTTGCTTACTCCACCAGCCCAGTGGCACCTGCATTTTCCCCCTGTCTTCCCTGGGATGTGAGAACTTCCTTTTGCTATACAGACCCCTGAACTGCTGGATGGGCTACCCTGGCCAAGGTGGCAGACTTTAGTGACTGTTGTGTTGTCCGTTTGTGGATGGCAGCCTGATGGCTTATCTCTGAGGCTGGAGGAAGTGAATGAAGGTCAGAGGAGGAGCAAGGGGTGTGCGTGCCCAGCTGACTACCACTGTGTTCTGTAGTGTCTGGCAAAAGCCGAGTCTTGGTACCTCTTCTCTTCTCCAATTTAAACCAATGCGTAAGCCCATTTAAAAAAAAAATGTCGAAGGAAGTGGAAGAGACAATCCTGAAAGACAAAGCAATTACAGGTTTCCAGAAAGCCACTTTCACTGTAAAATGTCACAATTCTTAATTTGCGCCTAGCAAAAGAAATCATTAAAAACTTGAGAAAATGCACATCTCGCGGCCCATAATTGATGCCCGTAATTGAAGGCATCATGTCAGATGTCATTTGACTGGCATAATGGTAACATTTGAGGGTGGTGGCTAACAGCTGCTGCCTACTCATTGTGTAAGCAGAGCAGGAAGAAAGCAGTGGAAGCCTCTAGCCCCTAATGACAAGGGGGCATGCAGGCAGGACTGCAGCATGCCAATGGAGGAGGAAGGATCAATCACTGAGCACTTGAGAAAACCCAGTGCGGACAAGGGCTGGCGTTCAGGATTAGCAGTTGCCAAATACAGGGAGACGTGAGAGGCAGAAGGCAGCATACAATCCTTAGCAAATGATTATTTCATTAGACAGCAGCCTAAAAACAAGGTGTTTGGGCTTAAGCTGTTTTATATTGAAAGATTTAGTGCTGTTTTCATGAACCACAAGTCATAGCATCATGACCTAGTTTGTGAATACTTGAGTTTTTATTCCATTTGGTTTAATGGATTTTGTTTTTTATAATCAGTGTCATCAGGATAGGTACAGAAAATGCCATTTGAGGAAAATTGTGTTCCAGTTATAAGACAGTATTTACAAGACAATTACTTAGTTCTCAAAAATACCCAGTTGCGAATAGTTGTGTCCTGGCATGGATTTTTTTCCAGGTTGAAGAATTATTTTTAAAGATTGGGCACGTTTCTTAATCTTACTGTTGAGGTTTGTAATTGTTGCCCTGATGGGAAAGTAGGTGGCTTGGAGACTGTGGCTTTCTTTTTCTGGATAGCTCTGATATAAAGTCCTTCCAGCAGTAACTGTTTTCTGGATGCCATGGCTGAACAAGGACGGGGGGCGGCCAGAGACTAATGAGACCAAATATGCTCTGTACATTATAATCCATTTATAGATTTGTTCCATTGCAGGCATTTGCATGGTAGAACTATCACTGTCCTCTTTAGTTGTGTAAAAGAGAGTAAAACTTTACTACTCTGAGGTCCTGATACCTATTAGTCTCGAAGGCTTATGCTCTTACCTTCTAATGCCCTCCTCGTTTCACTATCTTGGCTTCATATTTATCTGACTGTTACACTTCATTTGGTCCAAAATGTTTTTACCACTTTGAAGATCCTGACTCGTGAACTAGGCATTTTGGCAGGCGCTAGGGCTCACCTCTCAGTAGGTGGGCTTTGCTCTAACTCCAAATGGCAACCCTTCCTCTTGATTTTCTCTTCAGATGAGAGTCAAACACCTCTTCCTCCCCACAGCTGCACATGGAGAACTGGTTTAATTACCTGCCTTTGCAGGCCACCCTGAACTTGTTCCTCATGCATTTGACTTACCTACTTGATGCTGGTTGTGTCTCTTTTCATGGTACTTTCAAAATATGACATGCCATCTGGTATAATCGTGCATAACTTTTTAAGGAAGTACAGCTATTGCATACTAGCCTCAAGAGAGGTTCAGAAGCCAGTAAGCAAGGTTTTGAAAGCTACAAAACAATATTTTGTAGAGGAAAACTTCTTTACCTGAAACAGACAGGCTGTTGACAAACATGGCTTGGGTGAAGTGACAGATTCTGATCATTTCAATCTGTATGGGGCCAAATAATTAGTCTGATGGAATTCCTTTCCCTGCAATAGTTTTTTGTTCAGTTCATATTATGTGGCCAGTCCTAGGTTCTGGGGGGTCCTTAAGATTATATATATATAATACACACACACATTATAGGTATTATACATATATATATATATAAGACAATTATGAATAAGAGTGACTGACTGCCATTCTTTCTTAGGGCAGCCTCACAGCAAGTAGGCCAAGCAAGGGTCAAGATCTCATGTCTGGCACTCCAGTTATGCTTTCCAACTGATAGCTCACTATGCCTCCTCTTCAGACCTCTGTGGTGGCCAGGTTGGCTACTCAATGTCCTGTGTGGTCAGTAATCCATGCTTTGCTCATTGCCAACTCCCTTGCTGTCCAAATCCTTTCCATATTTTGAGGTCCACCACAACTCTCAACTCTTCCATATGGCTTTCCCTGGACACGACCTGCAATGTGTGCTCCACCTAGGACCCTGCAGTACTCACTCATACAGAAAGGTAACTAAGTTGCTGGGATAGCCTTAAGATGCCCATCAGGTGATGTCATCTGGATGACTGTGCTATATAGCCTTAGATAATATCATGTAACCAGAGCAGTGTTTCTCGAAGCTTGTTGACACCACTGTCATTTGAGGGTAGGGACCTGACATTTTATTTTTAACCTGTTCCACCTCCCCCTATCCCCACAGTGATCCTTGAGCACAATCTTGAGCACAATCACTGATCTGGGGGAGAATAGCCATTTAGTTATTAGGATGATTAAGCCTTTGTGTAGCGTAGGTAGAATGATCCTGGTGTACAAAGCCTATTGCCTCAATGATTTATTTTTGGAAATTGAGGGGCTTATCAAATACAAGTATCAACTCACTTGGATGCAGCATAATAAGAGTCAAGTTAGCAGCTGACAGGTTGAGCTGGTGGCGTAACTTAGAGGGTCAAGGGAGTCCTTATCTTCACATGTCACACAGGCAGATCATTTGAGAATGTCTTGAGAGATGATAAATGGGTGAAGCACTGCGTGCAGTCTTATCAAATCTGTGGAACAAGAGCCGAGAGTAACAGCTAACAGACACCAAGATGGGTTGCAGAAGGCCATCATCAGATACGTTTTAATCCATTTGGATTTGCAACTGCACAAAAGGATACTGGGGGGAAATGGTTCTTGTGAAGAGCTCTGGGAGACGCACCTGATGCCAGTTCATTTTAGTTATACTCTTCCACTAGCATGGAGTGCTGCAAGAGCAGGCTTTGCCTTGAGGTTGCCAAGGTGCATGTTGGTCCCAGTCTAGCTGTACATTCCTTAGTTGATTCTTTAACTGCTCTGTGCCTGTTTTCTCAACCTACCGCAGAGGATTATTGTGAAGTTGAGGTATTGCCTCTAAAATGCTTAGCATGGACTTGGCATGACGAACATCAGCTGTGTGGTCAGACTGTGTGCTTGGTTCTGTCCATTTTCAGGAGGAATCATGACTACAAGTGCTTATTAGATGAGGGTGTGATTTGAAAGTAAAGCATTACTTTTTACCCCCCCAAACTATTTTTCAGTTTTCAGTGACAATAAAGGGGCATGACCTTCAGTTCATCAGAAGAGGAATTTTTTTTTTTTAAATCACACATTCGGCCGGAGTCAGTGGTTGAGCCTGTAATCCCAGCACCTTGGGAGGCTGAGATGAGTGGATTGTCTGAGCCTGAGGGTTCGGCACCAGCCCGGGCAACTTGGCAAGACCTCATCTCAATAATAAATAAAAAACTAGCCGGATGTGGTAACACATGTCTGTAGTTCCGGCTACTTAGAAGGCTGAGGTAGAAGGATCTCCGGAGCCCAGCAGGTTGATGCTGGGGTGGCTGTGAGTGTACCACTGCATCCCAGCCTGGGCGACAGAGTGAGGTTCCAACTCAAAAAAAAAAAAAAAAAAAATCATACATTTGAGCTTGAGGACAGTCAGGTTTTGGGGAGATGTGGTCCTGAAATCACATGCATGAACAGATAAAAGCCCTAGGATGTTTTGTTTAAGACAAGAATCTAAAGGGCCAATGGCGATAAGGTCTTAAAATATTGCAAAGGCAGTCTGTGAAGATATCAGAACCAGATCTATAAATGGAAACAAGCAAGATGGGTCCCAGTCCAGCCTTAGGTGCATTTCTAACATGGGAGCTTCCCTCAGAGGAGACAGCACGTCCTTATCAAACATTTTGTCACAAGAAGTCTGTAAACAGAAGTCAGATTCAGTGAACTCCAGGACCCCTCCGCTCCAATTCCAAGATTCTAAGTAGAATTCTTCTTAAACCTAAACTGCTTGCCCATTACTTCATACAAGGTAAGTTCCCAAAATTGACTGATGTAATGAAAAAACATTTCTGCTATTTCCTATTGCCTGGCATTTTCAGAGTATAGAACTCCAGGTCTTTTAGGCGATTGCTCCAAATGACTGGTTAACAGCAAGCAATAATACATGGCTTTCAAAGTGGTAAAACAGTAGGCTAAAACCGTCCTCTTATGAAACAGGAAGTTAATATACTTGTACTTTGCTCTCTTCTAGGCTATTCTCATGGATCACAACTGCCCTATTAAAACAAAAATGTATACTCAGAATAATATCCACTCGTATCCGATAGGTGATGATGAAGAATCTGAAAGTGACTGAGACCCTAAAAAGTCATCAAATAATGTAATTGTATAAAAATGTTTCCAGTGAAATGACACATCAGAACTGTCTTAGTCATATCATCCATCCCTGGTGAAAGAGTAAACCAACCAAAGGTTATTATTTCTTTTCCATGGTTATGATCAGTTGCCAACAGCCTTATAAAGAAAAAGAAGCTTTTCTAGGGGTTTGTATAAATAGTGTCGAAACTTTATTTTATGTATTTGATTTTATTAAATATTATACAATATATTTTGACGAAATAGGTATAGTGTAAATCTATAAATATTTGAATCCAAATCAAATATAATTTTTTAACTTACATTCATGAACACTTGGGCGAAAATGTTATATTTTTTCTGAATATTGGTAATGAGTGTTTCAAACTAAAGCATACATTATCTCTTCAACTCTTCTGACGAGAAACTAGAAAGAAGTCTGAAAAACAACCAAGTAAGAAAGCATGTTACACAGTGACACTGAATGAGTGTTATTTATCTTGTAATTACTATCAATATATTTATGAGTTATAAGCTAATTATCTCAAGTGCAGAGGACAAGAACTTGAGTCAGTCATCTTTTGGATCTACCCATGAATCTTAGTTGGCATTAGTTTTTCATGTAATCATCTACCTGGAAAGAGATAGTTGTAAATTACGTTTACATGTCATGTGGTTGGCAGCAAACTTCAAAGCCAAGAAGGGAAAAATAGTCAATGTTCTGAAAGCAGACAAAACACCCATATAGTCCTAAACTAGCTTTCTCCTTGGTTGTCTTACAATATGAAGGGAAATTGATGTTTATGTACCTTACATTGTAAAGATTGTTAAACATAAGGTTTATTAACATCTAGTTCAAGTTTTAGAACAAGAAACTTAAGAGACTATTAGCTGCTCTGACTTGAAAAATCAGATTACTCTGTTTGCAGATCATCCAAGTTTTCTAGGGATCTATTAAATACTAGGTTGTCTGAAGTTTATTTTCTAGTCTCCTAAACATTGTTCTCATCAATGTGAAAACAATTTTTAAACAAGTATGAAGGAATGAAATTGTTTATGTCTTGGATCATATATTAGGAAACAGATAAAACTAATAGGGTGGTCAGGACACATCCCCTATCACAGACAGAAAAGAAAAACCAAACATTTAAAAATGTGTTACTGTATTATTTGTGTGTAGTGTAGTTAGCATGACAACATTGATGTGCCTTTCTAGTTTAACAGCAAATACAATTAGTGAACACTGTCAGAGTGTGAAGATAGTGTGGAATGTCTCAAATAATAATACTTGTTAATCCTGCAGTTCTATAATCTTAAAAATTACCTGTCATTTTGTTAAGCTAAAATTGTATTTGTCTTAACTTGGATAAATAACTTTAGAACAAAGATTCCTTCACTTTATGACTTTTTCCTAGGAAAGTGGCTAATACTCCTTTTGTTTCATGAAGCTTTTCTGTGGAGCTTCAATATCAAGTCTGGTTTCCAGATGCAGTGTGTTTGAAGCAAACAAGCTTCCTAGTCACTGATCTGCATTGGGCAATAAAGTCAGCTACCTTGGAAAATGGCTCTGGAGGAACTTTATATAGCTAAAAAAGGCAGGATAGTTTCTATTTCTTCAGGGGAGAGCCTTTAAAAAGAATGTACTATACATTGGTTCTCTTTGAGGGTTTCTGGCTCTCCCTGTCCCCAATATCATTTACATTACTATTTTACTTTTGACTTGAAGACGATGCTTCTGTAAGAATGACTGGGAAACACATGCCTGTTGATCCCTTGGGAGAAAAGATAAATGAACTTTTTGGAACTGTTTCAGGAGCAAAAGATGTTGTGTCTGAGGCAAAAGATTACAAGGTCTTTTATATGGCTAATAGTCTGGGTTAACAAGACTGTGAGTTTTTTTTTTTTTAATGTATGTATAAGAAAAAGAACATACAGCTCTCTGAACATTTATTTTTCGAAGAGGCTTTTTTGTTTATATTTGGTAATACAGATACAAAAACCTTAATGAGGTAGCAATTAATATTCAACTCTTTCTTTTGACTGCTGCTAAGTGTATCTATCCAAGTCATGTTTTAGCTAGTTTACTTAATAAATCTTCTGAACAATGAACTGTGCCTGTTTGTATTCATTTATAAACCAAACGTTGTTGGAATAAAATATATAAAGTATCATCATTTTGATTGTGGATATTTAATTAAAAACTATCCATCTATGCTTGCTTGTAGGGATCAGGTAAAAGCCATTCTGGGTTAATCTGACCATAATTTCTGGCTTTCTAGTTTGTTTTAAATTGAAATATGTAACTAGCTCATTATGTCAACTTGGAAAAAACCAGTAAGTTATCCTTGCATCTATAAAATTATATTGCTGTCCTGACTGTTATGGACAAGTAACTGGATCTAATGAAAATAACTGTAATATCCAGTTATTTGACATCACGGCGCTTAAAATGGGGCCCATAGGTACTGGGAAGTTCTGTAAAACCCTTGAAATTAGGGACTTTTTGAATGGTGTACACATACATATCTTCATGAAAGCCTACAGCTTTAGTAAGATCCTGAGGGGGACCCACGACTCAAAAGGGATAAGGGGAATCTTCCACTCTTTTTTTGGTAAGGAAAACTCTGACCTCAACTTAAAAATTAACACAATGGATTTTAAATTAAAGTGATTTTCAATTTATTTACCTTTAGATAACTTAAGATTGTATTCTTTTTTATCTTACAGTAAGAGCCAAATATTTTCAAATTGCTTTAAAAAAAATCAAATATACTTAGATTTAGACTTTAACAGTACTCTCCAAAATTGTTAGGTTGTGTTTTCTTCTCCCAGTATCACAAAATAGCCACATAATATTTCAAGTACTGATATTGAAGATAAGGCTTGATATGAAAAAATACAGCTTATTAATTATGATTGCAAAATAATGATAAAATCATTGATCAGTTTAACTAACTCATTCACCTAAATACAAATGTAGAAAATATACTTTAGCCTAATTAATAATATATAGCAGAGGCAAATCCATAAATTTGTCAATTCACAAGGAAAAAGTTTTAAAAAATTAATGCTTTTGGACAGTTCTCAAAATAACAATTTTGTTTAGCAAAAGTGGAATTTGGAAAGCTTGTCTGCATGGCCAAACTATACCAGAAGATAATTCCATAGAGATGCAGCAATTACCTTTTTTCAGATGTCATCAAATGAAGATATTGTTTTCTGTGGTAGCCTTTATTATTTTTTTAGCTATTGATAACATAGCATGGTAGCAAGATTACATCAGTAATGTAATATAATACAACTTTTTTCACTGAAGCCTTATACCTTACTATACTCTAGGCTATTTGGAGTCTTCCCCCCTTGCACTAAAGTACAACTGTGATGCCTCTCCCAGCAGATATAAAAATATTGTACTACATTAAGGGTATATTTTACAAACGTTATTAGCAGCATTACTGAGCTTTCCATAATTCTGGTTTTACAGCATTCAATAGTTTTAAAACATGAGTATATTCTTATAAAACCAAAGTTTTGCATTATTTCTACAGCTCTTTCAAATGCATCAGCTTCAGCAGCATGCTTGGGTTATCACTAAAACTTCTATGGTTTAATCAATAAACACCAGTGATTTACAGACACTCCACCTTCCAAGGTTATCAATGGTAAGTTATTTTTATAAAATGAAATGCGGTTATACATCGGGCAGATTGTTTCAAGCATATGTTAAAGAACAACATTTTAGCTTTCAGGGAATTTGGTGTGTAAAGTCTTTATAGCAGTGTTCTTTTAAAATATGATGGTGTTTAAATAAACAGCAAAAAGGGGAGCCATACATAGATACGTTTTTATTATAAAATTGGCCAAGAAGGGTATTTTGTGTCTCAATACTTCACTTAATAAAATAAAAACAGGCATGAGACTTGGCTATTGATTTTTAAAAAGTGGAATAATTTTTCTACCCTCAAAAATGTCTTACTCATATGGATAATACCTTTTATCTATATAGCTTTTTACTATTTTACTTTTGCAGTTATGCTATTGGTTTCCTCACAACAATCCTGTGAGGTAGTTAGAAGTATGATTTTTTTCCCATTTTGGAGATAGGAACACTGTGGGACAAAGCCCTTTGGTGACTTGCCTGTGGTTGCACAGTTCATTAATGGAAGAGCTTGAACCTAAACTCTTTTAAGGATTGTAGCCCTGGGCTACAATCCTTAACATTACACTATGCTTTCTTTTCGCCTGCCGTAAAAGCTATTCCATCTAGTTTTAAATTCATGTCAATTTCACTATATATCAACCATCATAGCAGTAACCTACACAAGGGAAAAACATATATATCTATTTTATAGGTATATAACAGGCCCAAACCTTTGAAGTACACCAACAGAGGTCAAGCTTACACATTTTTCCCTCAGTCATGTGTTACTGGGATCCATAAGATGGTCCCAGCATCAGAGTAGATCTTCATTTTCAGAGACCTGGTCCCAATTCCTATGTATCTTGTACTGTTTGTCTTTTCCTAATGAATGAAGACAGTCTGAACTACAGAAGTATTTGGTATGATTATCATTTTAAGTCTGTAAGATTTCAGAAAAAGGAATAAATATATTTTGCATTATTTCTCTCCTTTATAACATCCTAGTACATGAAAATGTTTCTAAAACAAAACCAGTCAAAACCAATTATCACAACACAGTCATTTTAAGAACAGTCTTCTGAAACTTTAAATATCCTTGCTTTATTTCCTGTGGGAGAACTGAAGATGAAAAATAATCATGAATGTTTAGAACTTCCATTTAAAAGGAGAGCATCAACATTTTAAAAGATTTTATTTCAAAATCCTACTTTTTTTTTTTTTTTTGGTAATTAAATCTTGTTATCCTCTACGAAATTCTTGACCAACTGCATTCTACTATTACATTGTTTTTCAATGCAAGCTCTTTAAAGTAATCACCATATACTATACTTCAGCTGCACAAAAGCTTTAGAAAAAAATTTCACAGAAGCATTGAAAGCAAGCAATTTTTTTTTTTTTTTTTACTAAATCAGCATAACAGACTAAAGCTGCAGTATCTGCTTTCATATTACATTTGGCAAAAACAAAACGCACCCCAAACCCCCAAAGTAACAAAAATCTCAAGCAAGTAGAGATGACAATTTCCATAACACAAAAGAAAGATTCAAAACCTGTTCCCTCAATGATTGCTGTTGTCAATTTGGGCATGCAGCAAATCTGTTGTTGTAACCATGATGGAAATGAAAATATCTCAAGAATCTAAACAGTATCCTATTTAACACTGATTCAAAAACCAAGAGGAAGGAAAATAACACAATGAAATACCACACATATATGAACATGAAAAGTGAGCTTACATAATTACATAATTAGAAAAAGTTAAAAATAAATTAGCAAAAATAAATCCCCAGTATAAACCCAAAAAAAGCATAGCTATAAATGCAATCTGAAACAACCAATTGGTGAGCTGGTCATGTTTTTGCTGGAAAACAATCTTTTTCATTCTTGTTCTTATACGAGCAAGTAACTGTGGAGAAGCAGGCCAAAGCGCATTATTAGAGGATTTAAATGTGGCTGTATCTGTAGTACTGCAGATGTAACTTCACCCCAATCATTTGAAAATTAGACGGTCTCAGATGGGCCAAATAAGTCATCTGATATGGCGCTGAAGGGCTGAGAGTCTATCAGTTGGCTTATTTCATTATCAAGGTCTTCTTCTGTATCATCTGTGTACTTGCTAATTTTTTTGGAGTGCTGGTCTAAAGTCAGACTTTCTAACGTTTCTATATCTTCAATGCCTGCTCTGTAGTGGATCATAAGAAGCGTTAGAGCTTGTAGTCTTTCACCTGATTTAGCCAAAGCAGCAGAAAGAAGTGATTTTTTCCTTGTATCAGTGGTCTCTTTTTCTTCTCTAACAAGGGAATTATTGTGTTCCAACTCCTGATCAATTTCATTCTGTAGTTTATCCAGCATGAACTCTAGTTTCTGGATCCTTTCCTCTGTAGGCAAGCCCCTGTACAGATCACGACCAATCTCTTTAACCGCAATGAAAACACTGTCATCCAGACCACCTTCTTTTCTCACTAACTTTATTCCGGTGCTGTTTCCTCGTTTAGAAGGACTGTTTGGACCACAGACCTCTGTGTCACTGCCTTCGTTGTCTGATGTGTTGGGTGTGTGTTTGGGTGAAGGTTCTACAAGATCGGTTCCTGGTTCAGAAAGGCGGGTTTTCGAGACTTGACGCAAATTTAGCAAACGAGAGCTAGTATTGATAATATGCCTTGTCAAACCTGTTGTTTTATTGACTGACTTGGTAGCTTCAGCGTCAACACGAGGAGGTAAGCCTAAGAGGGTTTCCTGTCCTTCCATCCTGAGGTTTTTCAGGGTCCTGTCTATTCGCCTATCAGTTGCTCCACAAAGAGATGTCTCGGCTAGACACTTTTCTTGACATTTTTTATGGCAAACATAAGCACAAAACATACACTGGGAAGCAGCTTTAGTCCAAACTTTTTTCTTACAGTAATCACACCAAGTTGGGTTCTGGAACTGTGTATCCTGGAAACTGTGTTTATTTTCTGTTAAACCTACCTGTCCAACAAAGTGCTCCTCTTTAGGGACAGCACAAACTTCTTCAACCAAATGGGGTTCTTTTTCTTTCTCTACATTAGTAACTACATGATGGTCTGATTCTCCTTCTTTCAAATATTTGAAATGAATAGTAATGTCACCAAAGCAAAACTTGTCATTGAATCCCTTTTGCATACTCAGATTGCGAAGTGCAGTTCTAGTGACTATAGCCTTAGGTGAGGGGGCTTCCAGTCTGAATTTTGAAAGGTATTCCATGTTTGATGTAGCTAGACATCCTAAAGCCACCTCTTCAAGTTTTAGACTAACATGTCCCAAACAGATGAGACCCCCTAACTTAAAAGGATCCCGGCACCACAGTGCAATGTTTAAGTATCTGTGGCAGGCTTCTATGTCAAACAAACAGGATGCTCTGGTTCTTGTCCATTTTCCTAGCTTATTACGATAAAGGATTTCTGATGATTCCCATGTCTGACGGTCATCTGAACTGTCTTTTGTAGGGCAGGAACTTTCTGAAGTAAAATCTTTAGCCACTTCTTGCTTTGCTACAAACTGCTTAGATGCAGCTGCATCTTCTGTGTGATCCACAGTTTTTGCTTGCTTTTCAGCAGATTTATCTGCAGGAGGAAGAGGCAGCACCTTTTCTGGCTTTTCAACAAGAGCATCTGGTTCTACATGATTTGGGGCATTAGCAGAAGGCAAAGGAACTTTCATTTGTGGTCGTGGTGGCACAGGTGGTTTGAAAGTGGATCCCTGGGTGGGTTTTGACACTTGTGCTGGGTCTGTTATTTCTGAAGGTTTAAGGGGTAAGGGTTTATTTCCTTCTTTGGGTGGAACTTTTGGTGGTGGTGGTGGGTGTCCTACAATTAATTTACGGTTTAAAACTGGTGATATAGCTCCAGGGGGTTTAATAGAAAGTGTTGCTGGAGTACGTTTGGGACTATGACTTAACAATTGTACCTCATCTCTGAACTCATTTTGTGCTCTGACATCACTTGCCAAGTCTTCAAATTCAGAATCCAGCTCTCTGTTTTCAACATCTACTGCTAACCCAGTGGCTTCTTCTTCATAACTTGGTTGGCATGAGCTTGACAAAAAGTTTTCTTCCAACTGACCAAAATTATCTTGCAGTACTGCCCCTTGATTACTCTGGCCAACAGGCCTCTCATAGTACACCAGGACTCGGTCACCAGCCTGCTTGATAAGCTTCAACACTTGCAGAGTCGATGTGATTTTCACACCTGGTTTGAGATTTTAAAAGGAAAAACATGCAAATTACTGCAATAAAAATTGTCTAAGTTTGTTAAATATAACTGCCATTACCTACGATAATTTAACTAATGGAAGAGTAATAGGAAAACCTCAAAAATATTGTATTTTGCTTTTGGATGAATGAGTGTACTGATTCTCAAACCCCAACTGTGCTGATATCTGGGAAATTTTTACCTTATCGAACCAGATGTGGCATAGAATCCCTAAAAGAGTGCCAAGATGATCATGTCTAATTGCTTACCATTCCTTCCTAAGTTAGATGACATTTCTCAGTTTGATATAGAGTGAGACTATTTGAAAGGATCTTGTTAAGGTTAAACCAGACTTAGAATGATGGAAAGCTGTGGTTCTACTGAAGGAAATTCTAAAACACTCCAGAGATTATAAGATATGTAATAAATGATCGAATTAAGAGGGCAATGCTTGAAATAAACGTAGCAAAATACTATACTATAAATAAGGAATGCTCTTTTATTAGCCCTACTCATCACACTCATCTTTTTCAGAACCAGAAAGAACATGTATGGGACAAATTGCTTTAGTTAAACAAGCTGGTTACTATCTGTAAGATCTACCTTAAGTTTTATTTTATTATTTTCTAATTGTTATACTAACATAGTTTAAAATTC